ACCAAACTTGACAAGGGATGACGGAAATTCGTTCCAAAATAAATCATCTTACCACCCTCTCGGAAAAATCAACCAACACCAACACACAAATAAGGCTAGTCAGGCTTATTATCTCAGAACCAACATACTTTTGACCACATACGAACGACGTCTACTAAAAATACACAACACAAAGGCTAATATATGGTTTAATGAACAATGTCTCGGATTGAATGTCACACCAAAGTTTGCCCAAATGAAGCTCAGATCGAATACAGAGGTATGCAGGAAAACAATTAAGAAGGCAGAGAGAATATACTTAACATACGAATTGAAGAGTCTTTACGCCAAAAAGGAGCAAACAAACGATGAGTTGCTATCAATTCATTTAGAATTAGCGGAGCGCATACCAATCGACTGCTTAATGGAGCTTTTTGATCAAATGAAAACGCGCATAAGGAAAGCCATGAAAGAAAAGTACAAGAAATTGAAAGGAAAACTAAAAAAGTTACAAACGAGTCAAGAAGGAGTGAACAAAAAACAGAGAGAGAAACCCGAATTCCATGCCAGGTTCGTAAACCTTACAGAAGTTCTCATCAACAAAGAAGAATCGCGAGTTTTAGAAAAAGGGCTCAAACATAATATCCAGAATTACAATAAGGAAAAGGAAATTGAGCAGACAATTGTAGATGCGGAAATAGCTATATCTATGCTGCCGAAAGAGGAACAGGAACACACTAGACACAGGTGCAAACAGTTAATTGAAAAGGAAATCAAAGCCAAAGGAAACAAAAACCACAGCAAAGAAAGCAATATAATTAAAGGTCTGAAGCAGAAACTAAAAAACAACAACGTAATCACGACCAAAGCTGACAAAGGAAACACAACTGTACTAATGAATAGAGATGAATACATACAAAAAACGGAACAGCTTATCAAAGAAACTAGATGTAGGAAGTTAGCAAAGGATCCCACTGAGGAATACCAGGCCACAATAAAAGAGACCATAAAGAAAGCTACAAAAATAATAAAGCCGAACCAAATACATACATTGACAATCATGAATCCATCAGCTCCTCCGATGAATGCACTACCTAAAATCCACAAACTTGGCACACCCATGAGACCAATCATAAACCACAGATCGGCCCCAAGCTATAAACTATCAAAACACTTAAAAACTATACTAAAGGACAACCTTGGATTGCCCAATAAGTACACAATATCTAATACAACGGAATTGATTGAAAAAATAAAAGACTCAGCGATCACGATGGATACTAAACTGGTATCATTCGACATAAAAGATCTATACCCATCGATACCAATAACGGAAACAATAGATATCGTATTCAAAATACTGATTGAAAAAACAGGAAACAGAGAAATCGCCGTAGAGATAACTAATACACTCAGAACGACGTTGCATCAAAATTACTTCAAATTTAACAACAACATATACATGCAAACAAACGGGCTAGGCATGGGCAACCCCACATCGGCGATCCTTATGGAGGTATTCATGCAGAATCTGGAAGAAAGGTACGTGGAGTATCTTACATCACAACTAGGAGCGACGTTCTACGCCAGATACGTAGATGACATCATATGTCTTATAACAAAGAAAAATGAAGGACAGATATTGGAATACCTCAACAAACAGCACAGCAATATAAAATTCACAATGGAACAAGAAATGCAAGGAAAGCTAAATTACTTAGATCTGACGATAAAAATAAATAAAAGCACCAGCAGTCTGCAATATGAAATTTTTAGGAAGCCCACAGCCACAGATACAATAATACATAATACATCGAACCATCCTCATCAGCATAAAAAAGCCGCTTTTAGACAGATGATCAATAGAATTGAGCGAATACCACTAACAAAAGAAGGATACAACAAAGAACTGAACGCAATATATGCCATAGCGGCTAATAACGGATACAAAAGAGATCTGGTAGAGGAAATCCGAAGGGAGCACAAAAACAAAAAGCCAAACAAAGAAGAAAACAATAACAAAAATTGGGCGGTATTAACCTATACTGGAAAGTCAACGTACAAACTTGCAAAGCTGTTCCAGAAACACAACCTTCGCACATCATTCAGAACAAATAACAACGTGGGACGGATACTACGGAACACCACAAATCAAGAAGATCCATTGGATAAACAAGGAGTCTATAAACTAACTTGCAAATGCCAGCATAGTTACATAGGTCAAACAGGACGTAAAATAAAAACAAGATTCCGCGAGCATATAAGAGACTATAACAAAAAGACACAGAAACCGAGCGCAATACCAGAGTCAAATTTTGCTAACCACATGTTTAACAACAAATGTTCACCAACGCAAATAAGAAAGGCAGCGAAACTACTGCATGTACAACATAAAGGCCAACGACTAAACGTCCTAGAAAATATGGAAATATACAAACTAAAAACCTTCGACGGCAAAATAATAAACGAACAAACAAATACCGCATCGGATGTTATATTCGAACCCTTAAAATTGATTTACGAAAAAAAGAAAAATGACAACAAAACAACAGGCATGGACACTCCGAACACACCAAAAAGCACCACCAGGGCAAAAATCACTGACTTTTACCTACCTGTAGGCAAAAACCATACAGCGACAACATAATGCATGTTAATATCGAAACAGCGAAGATGAACCTATTACCTGCTTCAAAAAATGGGCACCATGGCATATCTAGTAATTAATCATCGACGAAAATCACATTACCTAAGATAAATGAACATAAATTAGGGACAAATCTCGAACCAGACAGAACGAAAAATGACACTGAAGATGGCACAACGCCGAAACCGGTTTGTCTGCAAACCAAACTTGACAAGGGATGACGGAAATTCGTTCCAAAATAAATCATGTTAAATTATTGTTTACACGACAAATATGTTAATTATAACCTATATTTTCTCGCTTTTACAAGAGAAATAGCAAACAAACGACAACCCCACCGCCCATGGTTGCATTTTAGTATCGAGAAAGATTGCCAGAAACTCATTCGCTGTGTGAACAGCCAAAAAGCGATTTCAGAAATTTTTCCTGCAATTCGCCGTTCGGAAATAAAAACCTCTTTCGAAAGACACTTTCCATGCAAGGTGTGACTGCTCATGCAACTGATTTCTCAATTTGACAGCCTTTCCAAAATTTATTGCACCGAAATATATTGCCACGTCTGACACGCTCTTAAATGTGGATCCAAATGTTGAGTTTGAACCAACACCACATTTCACTGTGTTGATGCCGTCAGTTCATAAGATTTGCTCTCTCTTTCTGAGAGACACCCTGATGCCTGAGTCCTATAAATAGGTTATATAAAAAATACTTAAACCCAAATTTTAGACCGTGTACATATATGCATTTATATATAGATTTTATGGGAAACAAATCATACAAATTTACTCGTGGAATGCCCCGAAGCATACTTCAAAGCGTTTGATTTTATGTACATACATACATATATTTGTGTACATATTAAATATATAATATCTAAGTATGTATACTTTTGTATCTCCGCATATTTGGTTCTGCGCTCGCCGCTATGTTTGTTTATGATAATATTGTAAATGGAAAAACGAAAGGTCGACATTTATTATGACGCTTATCAGTAAAGGACATTTGTCCTCCTCCACAAGTATTTATACTTACTTATATATGTATAAATGGGTGTATGTATACGCCTCTGTGGGAGCTTACAAGCGATGCTAGCTCATTTTTTTCTCTTCATAATTTAAGTTTTTTATTGTTGGCTGTGTGGTGGCCTATTGTTGCTTTCTGTGGTTTCTTGCTGTCGAGCGCATTCCTATGATACCACATTATTTTATTGTTGCCTTTGATGCTGTTGCTGATGTTGGTATGTATGTATTTGTAAATTGTTTATGTATATTTATGCGCGTTTCCGAGTTGTAAGTATGTATGTACATAAATTGATACAATTTGCTATGCTTATTCACGCGTTTGGCTCACCTTTAATGTAGCCCCTCGTCTCTTATACTTCTTGGTAGTTATTAAGAGCGTAAAAGTCCTTGTGGGTAGTAGCTCCTCTAGGTTAGTTACATAATAGATATTATTTAGATGCGCCCAACTGAAAGTTATTATAACCGCCGTTCGAGAGTCTATTAAGAAAATACATATTAACTGCCATTATATGGTAAAAATCGTCAAAATTTCCTAAACTGCTGATAAATTACATATTTTCTTAGAGCTATGTAAAATGTACATAATTTAATTTTGTTTGCACATACATATGTATATGCTTCATTTTAATAAGTACAACATTTTTCTAAATAAAGTGAGCTAATATATGGGCTTTGAGGCATTGTAGGTGTAGTCTTATTTAAAATTTTAACAAATGAGCAAAAAATAGTAACTTGGTGGTTAAGAAAATTTAGCTTGGAGCTATTATTCCATTAATTTTCTAATCAGTTGTCTGGAGCTACATTTTTATATCATTATATAAATAGGCAATCATGTTTCCTTTACACCCCTTTTACGGCTAAACTATACTTCTAAGGTATAAACAGTTATATATCATTAGAAAGGTATTTTGATGCTGATGTGCAGGCAATTTTTAAAATTTCAAATCAGTTTAAAATAGAGCGAAAAAATCAATTCAAAAGTCACACCAATACCAATGCCATACATGTACATGGTTGGGGCGGAAATGCCTCCTAAATGTATGCTTTAATATTGATAGCGAATTAAAGAAACGTGCTAAGCAGCAGTTCAGGAATAAAATGTATGTATGTATGTACATGAATAGATTAGACTCAAACAAGGAAGAAGGTAAAGTTGAGTATGGAGAAGAAGAAAGTGATAAATACAGAAATTAAAATAAAAGTAAAGAAACCTAGATATAAAGACAAAGAGGAAGGAAAATTTAAATACCTAACCAAATAACAATGGTAGGGGTGAATATGTAAATGAAGAAAAGAATGGACATATTTAGATCAGGATAAAGGAAATGATAAAGATGAAGACCAAGACGACGAAGATGAAGATGAAGATGAAGATGAAGATGAAGATGAAGATGAAGATGAAGATGAAGATGAAGATGAAGACGAAGATGAAGATGAAACACACCACAACTTAACCCCCACACCGTAATTCACCACACTTCAACTCTCTCACCACACCTTAACTCACCACACCTCAACTCACCACACCTTAACTCCACACACCTAAATTCACCACACCTTAATTCACCACACCTCAACTCACCACACGTTAACCGCCCACACCTAAATCCACCACACCTCAACTTTCTCACCACACCTTAACTCACCACACCTCAACTCACCACATCTTAACTCCCCACACCTAAATTCACCACACCTCAACTCACCACAGATAAATTCACCACACCTAAACTCACCGCACCTCTTAAGCCCACCACACCTGAATTCACAGCGCCGTAACTCCCACACCCAATTCCACCACATCGCAAACCACCACACCCAATTTCCCCACATGACATGATATCACTTTATGTGGCATCAATGACATTGCTTTAATATTGATACTGAATTAAAGAAATCTGTTAAGCAGCAGTTTAGAAATCAGATTTACGAAGATTAAGATTCATGCAAGGAAGAAGGTAAAGTTGAATATGTACAAGAAGAAAGGGATAAAGGCAAAGATTAGAATAAAAGTAAAGAAACCTAAATACAAACGAAGGTGGATATGAAGATGAAGATGAAGATGAAGATAAGGATAAAAATCATAACCCCTTAACTTTAACTCATCTTAACTTAAAAACTTACTCCACCTGAGCTCACCACACATTAATTCACCACACTTTAACTCCCCACACCTAAATTCACCACACCTCAACTCGCCACACCTTAACCCCCGCACCTAAATCCACCACACCTAAATCCACCACCCTTAATTCACCACACCTCAACTTTCTCACCACACCTTAACTCACCTCAACTCACCACACCAAAATTCACCACACCTTAATTCACCACACCTCAACTTTCTCACCATAACTTAACTCACCACACCTGAATCCACCACACCTAAATTCACCACACCGTAACTCCTACACCCAATTCCACCACACCGCAGCTCACCACACCCAATTTCACCACATGACACGATATCACTTGATGTGGCATCAAAGGCAACATCATTTGGCATAAAATGAACCAAAATAAATAAGATTTAGATAGAGGTGAAAAAAGGGATAAAAAGGAAATACAACTGAAGAGTGTGCGATGTTATATTGTGGTGTGTTATGCTTCATATGTTATGTTATTTATTCTTATGTTATGGTTATGTTATGTTATGCCAAGTACTAAGCTAAACTCCCCTCCACTTAACCCATTCCAACTAATGTTATTTTAGCTCATTCAACTTACATAAACTATCCTTAATTTTATCGGTTGAATTTCAACCGCTGGGCGAACACTAGTATTTATTATAATAAATTGGTCTTCATATTTCCCATTGAAATTTTAGTTCATCCATAATAATAATAATAATAATAATAATAATTAAAATAACGCACGGGAATCTCTTATATAGAGATGACGGATATGACGGACCCGCGGACGCGAGTCAACCGTCAGTAAGGCCAACCACCTACTAATAAGTCCAAATGATTCCACAGACAAGAAACCAAACCTCGGACGAGCGTCGTTACGGTCAAGAAAGATGCGGGATAATGCAGCTCGACGCAGATACAGAACAGGATAGCCCAAGGACATCAGCTATACGTGTAAAGCTAAAGTTCACAGACAGCGCATGATTTGGACAAACGAGGTTAACGGAGATGTCATCCGCTGTTTCTTCAAAAGGCTAAAAATTGGAAACTATTAAAATTAAAAAGAGCTTCTTCTCCGATTTGTGGCCTGCGCCTTGATATTATCACACAAAGCGGAGGGACCAACAGCTTTACGCCGACTCCGAACGGCGATGGTATTTTTATGAAAATGTGTTTTTCAAGGCAGAAATACACTCGGAGGTTTAGCTATTGCCTGCCGAGGGACGCCGCTGTTAAGAAAATACCTTTTTTCTATATATTTTTTACGATGTTGCTTTTACAAGGGCTTGAATCCAGGCCCTGCGGAGTGAAAGTGCGCCCTGCTAACAACAACGACACGACATTTTTACATATACTAAAATAGCAACATGAAAAACAGCTTCTCATAAAAATACAATCGCCTTTCGGAGTCGGCGTAAAACTATAGGTCCCTTCGCTTCGTGTGACAACATCAAGGCGCACGCCACAAGTAGGAGGAGAAGCGCGGCCAAATACTAACATATGTGTAAGCGCCAATCAAGTATTATTATTATTATTAAAATAGGAACAGGGAGATATCTGTTCATTATAGATATTAAGGAATAATTAATATGAACAACGGACATAATAATTAATATGAACAGATATGAAGACAAATGAACAATTTTTAGAATTTGTATCTAGGTGTGTGTACGCATCACTCAAAACCTGATGCATGGAATTGAATGCAGTTTTCAACGATGTATTGCTAGAGGTCTAACTTAAAATATGAAAAAAAAATATATATTATAAATAGTTGCCACTTAAAAGAAAATTGCAGCTTAAGTAAATTGATAAGATAAAGAAAATAGTGCAATATTGCCATCTAAACAAAGAGCTTTAGGAAAGCTTACAGCCGAAAGTAGTTTTTTGGGAGGTTACCACCTGCTTGAAATTTTTAGTTTAATTTAATTGAGAAGATAAATTAAATATTTCAATATGGGTATCAAACTAAAGCGGTTTAGGAATGTTTATTGCCGAAAATATTTTTTAGGAGGGTTCAGGTCATTATCTATTTCTATGAAGGACTTATATCACAAGATGTCAACCGATTTTCTGAGTACACTTTTGGTGTTTGATTAGTAAACAGTTAAAAAATGGTTTTAGCTTAACTCTCCACCTAACACGTGTTTCGATATTCGTATTAGGTACGCATGGGGCCTGGCTGGACTCACATGCAAATTGTA